TATACTTTTGCAGCGATAATACATTACGAGGAATATTCTAGGCAGATACACGTGCGTCAAAAATATTGTTTCCGTAAGGAAGTATCATGCCTTATTATATCAAATACGTAATCAAAAAAAATGCATGGCTTTATTATTTACTCGTAAACTTTCAAGGTTCTCTACTTTGAACTCCATCATCTTTGACTTATCAAGAAATTAACTTTTACGTATAACTTATGAATAGACTGAAGTTCATAGCGTTAAGAACCTTACGAGCTAGCTGTACGTGAAATAAAAATTAGAATAATCTTAACTAAATAAAAGAATAAAATAATCTGTTAATATCGTTATTAATTAATACAATGCATTTGCTTGATTTAAAATAAATTTATCGCACAAATATGTGAACAATTTAATAAGCAAATTTTTAAATGTATTAACAGAATTGAATAATTAAAATTTAAATTGTAGTAAATCAAATAATAAATTATTTCAGAAATAAATAATGCATATTTTCTTCTACATTAAAAAGTTTCTGCTACAATTTTTTATCACTACTTTTTCATTAAAAAATGTGCAACTATTCTTTATCTCAAAAATTTGCATAATTAATTGATTAAAAAGTTAATGATTAATGATTGAGGGAAAAAGCAATAAGAAGAAATAATGCAATCAGAAGTAAAGTATTACTGGTTTGTCTTCTTCAATTATAAGTCTATGCTTTATTAGATTCAGACTTGCACTGGCCGATCACGCCACGGAAGTCTATAAAGACAAGCGTACTTTTCTCTAACTTGGCCTTTTATAGGCGAGACCCTGCACATTTTTTTATATTTATTGGATTTTGTTTTTTTGACGAATGTGGAATTGTCCAGAGCTAAGTGAAAATTATCTATGCATGACAAAGACATGCACAGATAAATGTCATATAAATTTATCCATCTACCCATCGATCTATCTATCTATCTATCTAGATATCTATAAATCTATCTAGATATCTATAAATCTATCTAGCTATCTATCTGCTTCACCAAAATATATCAAAGATTAGCAAGTATTTATGTTTACCAATATTGATAATATATTTATCCTTTTTTTTTACAAAACCAGCAATAAAAATTGCTTACTTACAAATTCAATGAAAATTAGTGCATTCATTTTAGCATTATAAAAGATGTAAAACATCACTTTCAAGAAGCAAATTTATAACGAAGCTTAAAATTTGAATAATAATTATGTTTCAGCATTTTTCAAAATTAATTCAAATTTTTGTATTACTTTAAAATCAAATCCCACAGATATACTTTATTAAACAATAGAAACAAATAATGTTATTACTGAAATATGCTAATATTCGTAATTTGTTATGCTAATATTAGTAATTGGAAATGTTAAATATATATATTAAGATACTTTTTCAAACGCTAAAAATGAATTGCATTTTCATCTCAAAGCTCTTACTTTCAAATGCTAATTGATGTATACATAATTAAGTATTCAGAAGTTTGTTTTATGTTTAGCTATAACTTTAAGATTAAATTTACCAAAAAAAACAACAACTGAGAACGAAAAACAAGCCTTTTTTAATATTTTCCAAAGTTGAACTTAAAAAAATGAATAAAAAATGTATAAATTTCAATTTTGAAAATATTACTTTTAAAAAATATTAATAATTTTTAATTACTGAAATGTCAAAATAAGCAAATATAATAATAGTTTTTGTATTTCAACCCAATTTTGGAGGTAAATTGAATGTTTTAGCTAAAATCTTTGAGTTATTTAACTGATCAGACGCTTCTAAATTGCTTTTTTAAACTTATTTATGGATAAAAAATATATAAAACTTTTGAATAAAAAATAGAATCCTTGCAGTTTTTGCATGTATTCAATAAAACTAACTGAAAGATTTTATTTTGAATAACATCCTAATACTATTTTGAAGTTTCTTTCTTATCAAATTATTTAACTGATTGCTGATCAGACGAGTTATTTAACTGATTGCTGATCAGACGAGTTATTTAACTGATTGCTGATGAGACTAGTTATTTAACTCATCAGATGCTTTTAACTTTAATTTTGAAAATATTATTTAGAAAAATTATTAATAATTCCTAATTATTTAAATGTCAAAACAAGCAAATATATTAGCTTTTGTATTGTTAATTATTTTTTAATAATTAACTATAAAATAAGACATCAAGTAATTAGCTTAATATGCAAATTTCAGCTATTTACATCAAAGTTTAAAGTAAAATTAACAGCAATAAATACCAGTTTTACTAGACCAAAAATAGAAAAATTGACTGCTCCCTCAGCAAATTTGCTATTTTTGCATTTTCATTTATTTCCACTCCTCTTCTTGCCAATTAGAAGAGTTTGCACAAAAAAAAATGAAAACTTTATTAGTTTAGAGGGGAAAATTACAAGTAATCATACCACTATACTATTCCTCTCATAACTTCTGTTTTCAGTGCTAAAATAATCCTTCTAACCACCAATTATTATTGCATATATTACAGAAATAAAGAAAAATATACAGTAATGTTCATTAAATAAATTGCTTCAATAAATAAATGATATTTAAGCTAAAATTTAATCTCCATTATTAATAAATGAGTAAATATAAAACCACATACTACTACATTTTTTTAATTAAATTAAGACAAAACTTCAGATAACTTATTTATTGGAATTGTTTTAAATTTAACCAAAAATGAACACGAAAAAATAACTCAATAAAAAGATAAGCAATTATAATAAAATGACGTCTATATTCCACTATCTATCTTCGAAGTTAATTAAATATCTTTTACTATTTTTACTTAATTTTATTACTAATAATATTCACTAATATACTGAAATGTTTTTTATGATACGAAGAAAAAAGAGTTGGCATAGAATAGAAAGAGTAATAAAAAATTCTAAAAAATATAGTAGACTTATGTATGCTTCATGAGCACATGCTTGAATCGAAAATAATCAAGAATTATTTCCAGCATCAAAATCAATTGCACTGGTTACTTCTTAAACGACAAATTTGACTTAGAATCAAATAACTCAAAGTACTTTTTAAGCTTGACTTCAAATCTAATTAATACGTATAATGATACTTACTGCACACGTATGTCATTGATAAAAGTAGAAATCAACGTTTTTGGATTGTCCCATAATAGTTAATTTATCTACGACTCACACACACTCAAACCTGAAAAATACAAGCAAACAAAATAGATAATTGACATCTCCAACAAATTAAACTTTATGCAATCTTCACTTTTATAATCAAGAATTGTAATATAGACAAATAACAATAAAAATTTTTTGGCACTACTGTTGCATCCGGTAAATCACAGTAAATCCTTGAGCTCTGCTAAATCCTCTTGTAATGTTATATTGTCTTCTACTAACATACTTCATGCAGAAAATTTTTTCCTGATCCATAAAGAATTCATTATTCAATTAGCAACATAATAAGAAGAAACCCCTGCTATTTTATGAATCTTTTTAGATTTATAAAATAGGGGGATTTCCGGAAATTTGAAAATTTTTACTCTGATGCTTCAAAAAATGAATACCTTTTTAAAATATCTATCTTTCTTTAGCTTTTTCAATTATTTAAAGTGATCAAAAGAAGAGGCTATATTTTATTAGTTTCTGTTTTAAATCTGGTTTAGTCAACAAAATATAAGACGCTTCAAAAGCCAAGACTGACATAAAATACATAGAAATGTGGAAATATTAGAAAGCAATACAATAATTTGCAAACTAAAAGATTCATGACTACAACAAGCAACTGTATCTCATATTAAACGATTATAAGCAAAAAATGAAATCAGCAACCAACAGAAAGAAATCAAAAATTCTTGTCAACACTTTCAAAACCCTGCTGATATCAAGAATCTATTTGATCCTAGTGGTGACAATCATCCTTAACAAACATATCATTGAGTATAAGCAGTAGAAGTAACATTACCACCACTTCCGGTCCAATTTGTGTGTACGAAGGTACCTGGTTTATCCATTAATTCGTACATATGAGCACCGAAATAATCACGTTGTGCCTGAACAATGTTTGACTTACAGTACAAGATAATTCAAGAGCTAAAATAAACGAAAAAAGTCACACCTGAATAAGATTTGCTGGTAATACCTCTCGTCGAAAACCGTCATAAAACGCAAGAGCAGTAGATAGGGCTGGTGTTGGTATACCAAGCAAAACACCAGCGGCAGCAACAACGCGCCAAGATTCCTGAATAGCTTTTAATTTAAATGCGAAAAATACCAAGAATACAAACAAAACCCACCCATATAATTAAAATATCTTGCGTAATTGATGATGGTCAGTTGACATTATTTCCAGAAAATTTTTTTATACTCACATCAATAGTTTTTTTGTAATTTTTTATGATCAAAATAATATCTAGCCCCGAACATTTTCCATGCAATCTAGTTGCTATCTGCAACATCTACATGCAATTTTCACTACAAGAACTATATAGAGTACCATTCCACACAACAGACCTGGCATTCTTTGACAGCGTTTAAGAAGAAATCATCCATTAACAAATTACTAAGATGAGGATTCTTATCGAAAGCTTTTTTGATTTCACCCAGAAAACGTGACCGAATAATACAACCACCTCGCCACATTAACGCAATAGCTCCGAAATTCAAATTCCATTTGAAAACTCTATTTGCTTCAGCGAGAAGCATGAATCCTTGCGCATAACTTATAATTTTTGATGCATATAATGCCTGAAAAAACTGTTTTTATTTTGTATACCACCTTGAAAAAATTGTTCACTTTTGTATACCAGCCAACTTTTTCCACTTTTTTCATACCTTTCTTATGTGTTCACAAAATGTCTTCGGAGCCCCAATTATGCTAATTTTATCAGGGTTAGGTCCTGGCAAGACTTTAGATGCTGCAACTCGTTCTTCTTTCAAGGATGATAAGCAGCGAGCAAAAACTGCTTCTCCTGCAGAAAAATTTGTAAAATACTTCATAAATTATTTATAATGTAAGCATTATTAACCTGATATGTTTGAGAATCATCAGAGTGAAGTAAATTTGGGCTAGATATATTATTGTTTCAACAAATGAAAGGAAATATTGTTCTATTTTGTCAGGAATTGCTCAAATTTGAAGAATATTTGACGAAAAATAAAATGGTCTACAATTTTTTCTTTCTCATAATTACTTTTTTTCTGAAACTAACCAATTAAAGTGAGTGGTACGCCATAATTCAATGCTGCGATTCCTGTCCATTTGCCAGTCCCTTTCTAAAATACATTTATGTACATCCAAACCCATTTTTAGTTTTTTTTTTCTTGCCTTTATCTTGTCAAAATCGTCAACAACGATAAATTTGGTAAGGCCAATAAGTTCTTATTTATCAAGAGAATCGAAATTGCTCTTTGCAGTATCTTTTCCGACATAATTAATTACATCAGGAAATATGACAAACGAATGCTGAATATAAGACGCGATGAATTAAATGAGTACATCGTATATAAATTGAATTAAACCTTATTTTAATTACAAGTAACTAGAAACTGAAATTTCAGAAAATACCTGTCCAGCAGCATCTCTAATTTTTGGCAACAGTATTTGACTACTTTCATCTTTAAACTTGAGAATGTGACTTGTTATTTCTATTAGATAAGAATCCAATGCACCTTTGTTCCACTGAGCTAACACCTTAAATAATGATATTTTACACAATATATTATTACAGAGTGTACAATTTTATAGTAGTACACTTACTTGCAATATCGAGTTAAGTATAACGTCTATTATTTTGTGGTAACTCACTTCTCTCTTATTTTTTAAGGCTGACTCATCACTTTACTATCATCTTCCTCAATAGTATGGAATAATATTTTGGAAATAGCTTTTAGTCCCAAACAAGGAGAGATGATATCAAAACTACATATATATCAGTATAGTAAGTTAAATGACCTCTGCCATTTCTTCATGAGTTAAATCAGCTCCATCTTTAAGCAAATTATATGCTTCAGCAATAAGCTGCATATCTCCATATTCAATTCCGTTATGAACCATTTTCACGAAGTGTCCTGCACCACTTTTACCAACCTAAAATATAACTGAACGTAATATTTCGCGTTGAAAATATCCAAATTATATTAAAATACAAATTTAATACCCAATCACAGCATGATTCTTTTTCCACTTTTGCAGCTATTCCCTGAAATATGTCTTTTATATGCACCCAGGCTTCTGGTGAGCCACCCGGCATTAATGAAGGCCCATAGCGTGCTCCTAAAAATATGAATTGAACGTCATGGACTAATAAAAGCTTTAAATTAAAAAGCAAAAGATGAGAAACATAAACCAAAAAAATGAATTTTAAAACTTAACCTTCTTCCCCACCACTTACACCGCAACCCACAAAGTGAATTCCTTTCTGCTCAAGTTCAATGCAGCGTCGCTGCAAAATATATACACGACTGAAAGTATTCTCAAAATATGTAAATAAGCACGCTAACTAAATCAAAGAAATCTAAAATAAGTGGGACATCAATAAAATGATTCGAATCCTCTGAAAAAATTATAAGCTTTTAATTTCCACTAAATAAATAGTTTCAAATATTCATTTTTTTTTTTGATATTAATACATGGGACATCGAAAAATATACATTTGTATCCGTATATTCACTATTCCCGCCATCAATTATAATGTCACCTTTCTCCAAATACCGCAAAATATTAGTAATCATAGCGTCTACTGGAGATCCTGCTTTCACCATCAACAGTATACGTCGTGGCTTTTTCAATGCTCTGAAACAATAACTTCAAACATTTGTAAATATGCTTAAAATGCAGAACAAATAAACTATTTCGACATTCCAAGATTTCAGTCATAATACAAAAGATTACGTCTTCAAAATATACCAGCAGATCTTTTAAAAGTACCTAGAAAAAAAAGTGAGTTACCAAATACCTACTTCGCTAAATCTTCTAAACTATGTGCTCCAATAACTCGAAGGCCTTTTCCTTCATTAGCTAAAAAACTATCCACTTTAGAAACAGTTCGATTGTACACACAAACCTGAAAAGACACTACGTCAAAAAACTTCGTACATGTATAAGAGGTAATATAATGGTAAGCAAAACCATATATCCACAAAAGGAAGTAAAACCAGTGTTTAAATGGAAAAAATGCATTACTACAGATATTTCAAATTTTCACCGCTCTCAAATCGCAGTGCCCTAATATTCTTTTTAAGATAATATCAGCTTTTATCAAAGCAATATAGTCTCACCTGAAATAACTGCAATAATAATTGAATTATTAATTGTATTATTATTGCAGTCATTTTAGGCACATGATTTGTTACTTATAATCATATTACAATATGTTGTGTGTGAATGTGTTTAAAAATATAGTATTCCATGAAATAATGAGTGAGATATACTGTCTTCTTCTTAAAAGATTAATAACAAAAACTAACCACAAAGCCTTTATCCAACATATTTAGAATCAAATTTTGTCCCATAACGGCAAGGCCGATCACAGCAATATCGGCTTTCTCTCGCTGATCAACTGACATCCTCAGTAACACTAAAAATCAACGATTATCATCACAATGATCCTTGATAAAGTAATAAAATATGAGAAACTAGCGCGCTCATTTTTCTTTAATTGAATTACACATCATGATGAAAAAATTTCTCCTCCCAACATTGACTAAAACTAGTTTTTTCTTAATTAGAATTTAGAATCAACACGTAATTTCTATGTTGGTTACCTATCCTATCAAAATTTGATTCTTACATTTAAAGAAACTTGTTACTCTCTTTTTTTACTCCAAAAATGCTCTATGAGAGTGAGTATACAATAAAAATGATTGCTTTAATAAATTTTTCACTGTTTTTCATTGAACTTTGTCAAAAGCAATTTCAATTTATGTCAAACCTTTTTGATAACAAATTACTTCAACTATTTCTTCTTCCTAACGATCAAATTTTGAATAAAACGAGCATATAAAAATTAGCCACCGCTCACCTGCAATTTACTGATAAAAACTTTTTAGCTTCAAAATTGCTTCTGGTAAAGTTCAAAGCACAATTTGCATATTTATTGCTTATCTTATCAGCAAAACTATTGTTAGCTAAAAGTTATAGCAATATTTGTAATAACTTATTTAGCAATACTTTGAGAGTATATCGTACTTGTGGAACATTAAAGCTAAAAAATTACCTTAACACTTACAAAAGTTGTACTGATTTTAAAATATATTAAATCGCAAAATAAAATTATAATTGGTTTTTTTTTCTACAACAGAAAAAATGATAAGAACTAACTAACATATTCTGCGGGCTGAATAATTTTCTTCAGTGATGAGCAATTTCTGACCTCCTGCAAAGACAAACTTTTATTTAAAAATTTTTGTCAAATAAAAATTTGATTATAGATTAAAAATTGATACCAATATGAAATAATCGATATGGATTTTTATTTTCAAAAAATGCGTGTAGTTACAGATACTTTCTTGATTCTGATACTCAATGAATGAATTAAAGAAACAATTCGATACAAATGTAATGAGTACAAAAGTACTTGATATCACATGGTATCGAAATACAGTATTTATAAAAAACTTAAAGACATTATGTCAAACTATTTTGGAAAAAAGCTAATAACTTTACTTCCCATTACTGTAAAAGAAAGCCAAATTGTGATTCTAGAATTACTGTATGTATAACATTTAATTTCAATGCGTAACGCAAGAGGGACGCATTAAATAGTGGTGTTGATGCTCATCTTCAAACGTTGACGTTTTCAAACTGACGTTGTAATCATTCTAATATCCAGTTAGAGGAGATTTTCTTGGTCATTGCTATATTGCCAGAACCTGATATAATCATAAATTCAACTTATAGAACTTCTAGTGTTCAGTTCATAGATTAAATTGCTGTGTAAAAAATGGTTTTATAATTTAGTATTAACTTTTAAAAAGAAATTTTGTTTCGAAAATATAGTAGTCAAGAGTTGGATTAGTTAAAACATTACAAATCACACCTTTTGACTTGTGGCAGTAGGTTAAAAAATTAGTTGCATTTTTTCGGGTATATATTTTAAATGATTGGTGTTATAAATTTTCCATTTAATGCACAAAATGTATACAAAATAACAGTAATAATTATTGCAGTTACAGTAAACACTCAGGGAAATGGTCGTGCCAAATGGTGATGTTATTTCAAATGGTATTGCTTCTGATGACGAAGAAAGCATCTGTCAGTTATTGCTGAAAAGTGTACATGATGAGCGAATTGATGTACTGCGCTCTGTCTTATCACAGATTTGTTCGTTTTTTAAACATTTTAGTGTTTCCTATATTTATCATTTTTCTATTGATGCATTGATCATTTTAATTAACAAATCCATTTAATGAATAAAATTTAATGCCATTTAATGAGTGAAATTTTTTCAAACTTTTTAATAACAATTAAAAATCATTATCTTTGATATTAATTAAAATGATTTACTGAAGGTGATGTATTTATCTGTAGTCTTCAATATTTTGAATGCTTATTTCAGCTGTGAAGCCGGATTTTCGTGAGCAAGTGAATCAGATTTGTCACAAAGAGGGGACAGTTTTACATTATGCAGTGTCTCGAAGTAATCTTTTATTCATAATTAGAATCGCTCGAATTAGGTACAGTTTTTGGTGCATTAGTTTCTGAATCTAGATGAGTTTTTTGATAAATAAAACAACTTCAGTTAGTTTGAATCATTTTGTTTAAATTCCACTAGACATGTACTAATGCATTTTCAATTTAATTGCATTGAAAAACCGTTTTTATGTCCATATCCTTGAAATGCATTTTGATGTTGTTATTTAATTTCTCTTCGATGTCAAGTATCGTAATAAGTTATTAATTAGAATTGCTAAGGCTAGGAAAAACTGGAACTCACTAACGTATTGCAGTTTCTCTTAATAACTTATTCTATTTGCTAGAAGTTTAGGTATTATTACAACACACCAAAAATAGTTCCAGTACGTGTTTTGCAAAAATTTGCAGATTCAGTAGATTCAGTGCGAACTTTGTTAGCAGCGGGCGTCAATCCCTGCGTGCAGAATGATGAAAATCATACAACATATCAAATAGTTTCCACAGAAGAAGTGAAAAATGCATTCGTTCAGGAATTACTACAAGCAGCTGCTCAATCAAAGTTTGTTTATTTCAGTGCTTTACCTACTTGTTCTATTTGTATTACCAAGATATACCCATTTTACTTTTATAGTTTGGGTCGAGTATGTCAGATGATATCAGCTGGAGTAAACGTAGACGAAATTGATACAAAGGATACCAGAAATACTGCTTTACACTGGGCTGCTTCTTATGGAAACGAAAATGTTGTCAGGTTAAAAACTTTGGTTGAAAAATTTCCACATTTTTTAATGTTTTATCATTTCGAAAGCTCCGATTGTGAATTACCAAAAAAGTATTAAGAAAGTCCTCTTTTTATAAAATTGTTTCGAAATGCCTATTGTATTGTCTGAATAATATTGCAGAATATTATGCCAGAGTGGAGCGAATGTCAATTTTCTGAATGCTAAAAACGAAACAGCATTACATGATGCAGTGCGTCGTGGAAATGATGGCACTGTAAGATGTTTGCTGAGTTATGGAGCAGATCCAAGTATTAAAAATAAGAGTGGGGAAGATTGTTACGAGTTAGCTGCTAAACTAGGCGGAGATATGTTACCAAGTCTAAGTCTGAATATGTAATTTTCTTTAAAATTCAAGTATTAACTTTTTAATGTAATACAGAAAATTGGTAGAAGCATTTAAGAAAATTGGTTAGAAATGTTTAGTATTTTTAATCGACGATATGTTCAACCAAAGTACATTCTATCCATCTAGAGTATTGGTGCTTGATTGCAGTGTATTGCAGGTTAAATCGTACCATTCGTCGTTCTACATCAGTGGATTCAGATCTTGAACGTTCGTCATTAATATCAGCTGATACTACCACTATATTTGCTGACAAGAAAATAAATTACGGTGCGAATCGACTGGAAAGTTGGACTGATTTACTATGGCCACAGCCAAAATACATAAATTTAGATGAAAGGTGTTTATTAATTAGTCATAAGTTGTTATTTTACTAAAAATAGCTATTAGCTATTTAGGGGACGTAATTACCAGTATCCAAAAGATGGCCGATTGAAAATTTATTTCGATGGAGCCAGTGAAGCGGAACCCAGACGCATAATGCAAATAATACAAATGTCAGCTTCTTTTCTTTCGAGCATTCAGTTGGAATTGGATTATAGAGGGCATAAGGTTTATTTTATTAACACTTGCATGAATTTCAACACATTAAAATAAGCATTTGTGTCGCAGTCGTATTTGAAATTACCTAATATTTTGTTGTAGAAAAAGTGCGAATATCTCTAACATTACATTATTAGTTTTTTGCCTATAAATCGTGGATTATTTATAGTTTCCGGAGCTTTCATCTTTGGATGGTCGTATTATGTGTGGAATTTTCGAAAATGGATGTAGTTCCGGTGCGTATACGTTGATCGTTAATGAAGATAACATAGAATTATATGGTGAGGATTACACTGGTATCCGCCATGGCTTCTCCACTCTTGTGCAGATATTAAGAATCTTTAAAATAGGTTGTAAGGTACCGTTTACTGCATATTTTATCACTTATTATGAATGTTATCTTAGACTGCTTCTAAAGTTGCATTTTGAAATCTCTGACATATTATTATAGAAATTGTAGTTTATTTTGTCAAGTGAATCTAATTATTTGCGAAGTTTCGAAGCACTTCAGGATGGTAGTTCAAACTCCGAAACGTTAGAAACGTTGTACGAGACACCATCAGGATCTGCCACAAACCCAAGTTATAATGGGGACACAAATGGTATCTTTTATTTTTTGTAGGAAAAATACTGGAATTAAGCAGTTATGATAATATGATTTAATCGTTTTGCTTTTCCTAGGTGCAGTACCCTGCCTAACGATCCGAGATTTCCCTGATTCATGCTTTCGGGCTGTTTATCAAGATTTTAGTGGGTGCAAAATATTAAATACGGAAACTGTAAGATTTTTAATTTTTAGTGATATCATATACGTAAAATACCAAAAATTAAAACGGCTTGAAAAAGTCCAATTTCTATTTCGGCTTTAGCTTTTGCAACTAGCAGCACGAATCGGTTATTGCAAAGCAAGTCATTTATTCGTCAATTTCGAAGTAAGGACTACGGATCGTTATCAGTTGCCGTACACAAATCGTGACCTGTTTCAAATGACTCAAGTGTGTGATGAGCTTTTTGTGAAGGTAAATTTTTATTCAGTATAGAAATATATGCTTTCCCAGTAATTAGAAAAAATAATTATTCATCGATTTTACAATAAATAATACTGATGTTCTTTCTCAGAATAATTTAACATATTGACAAAAATTTGTATGATTTTCAGCTAGTACCTTCATTAGATGTACAGTCTAGTTATATCGAAACAAATGTCTTGCGTCGCATAATTGAATCATTTTTGGACGATTTTCCGCTGACTGATGTTGTACATTTTGGTCCAAATTTGGCGCTGATGCTGATGTCAAATCGAACACTTTTAAATCATGTACAACGAAGAGTACCAAGAATTTATATTTCTTTGGATGTCGATGAAAACAATGTTTCATTAGTAAGTTTATATTTGAACAAAATATTTCGCGGCAAAATTCATAAATAAGATTAGTGAGCAAATTATCTTATCTGATATACTTTTAGGTTAACCAGTTACCACCGTTCGTTACACTTTGTATAGAAGGCAAATTTCCCTTTGAAGCCGAGAATTTATTGTCTCCTCATTTGAATGTGGTTTTACGGTTTTCATCGAGTGAACCTGGATTTCTTTGTGCTGCTCCCGAATCTATGGCTAAAAAAGCTGTACTTGCTTCGAGATTAGGCCACAAATTTCCAGTACTGGGTAATATTTATAATGCTTTTTTTCTCTGAAAAGTTTGCTTTCGGATGTATAAATTCTTTCAGGTTCAATGATATGTGATCTGTCAACGGGTTGTGAAATAATGCCTCCTTCACTGTCGTACATGTCTGAGTTAGCATCTCTAGGTGTTTGTTGGAACAAATTAACAGACATGAAACGGTTTAGTTTCTTGTTGCCTCGAATAACAGCAGAACACTTTCTTTTAGACGGGTATGCTATACTTTTATTTAGGTTATATTCTTGATAATGTGCATTCTTTGAAGGGAGAAAAATTGTAAAATTATGAATTATTCAATTAATTCAAGTCAGAGGTACTTCTGTTTTCTTCTTTAAACACTGGATCATTTTTTATCTATTTCGGTTCTACTTTAATATATTCTTAAAAGTTACAGTAATATGGAAGCCTTGTTCAAACAGGCTTACACTGTTGGTAAAGTTGAACATGAAATAACGCGATTAAGCTGTGGATTATTGAGAACTACGGAAAACGGTATACTTTAGTATTTGTAGGTTAATACTATAATAATGTATCTGGATTTTTCTTGTCTTTTAATATAATTTTCAATATAATATTTTTGTTTTGATAGAGGGAAATCATAAATATCTATAAAGTTTTAATCTTTAAGTATTTGACTCATGTCTTATAATGTTGGATTTGATATAACTTTTCATTTAAATGTTGATCGTAGTGTCCCATAAGAAAGACAGATATTTTAAAACTGTGACATACTCAGCATTCCAGATATGGAAATGGAAAAGGTATCTCCATCAGAACCAGCGTCTAAAAAACCGCCGATTTCGATATTTGTAGAAATAATTTTGAACCCGGATAATTTGATCTTGGAACGACTAACTCCAGTAATATTTAAGGTAAATATTTTTCATTAAAAAATTGTATTTTTTGTTTCTGCAGTGTTAGTGGTAATGATGAAAAAAAAATCAAAAGAAGTTTCTGCAGAAAGCTCGCATTGAATTGAAGCGTAGCTTGATCGCGCTTGATCGAGCGAAGAAATCTCTTCCATACAATTATGAATTGGCGCTTGTGCTGGCTGAAATACAGCTTATTACCGAACTCATGATTCTCGCTTGCAGGTTCATCCTTTTTTTATTTTTTGAAAGCTCTGAATCATGATATTTTTTTTAAAGTTTGGAGCTATTCTTTTTGTAGGTTGGGCCAATCACTTTGCGTACATAGTGTAAATCCACTGTTGTCAGCAGTTGATGAAAAAATTTTCTCATCATCTAAAACCAAATTACTTCCTGAGTCGTCATCTTATCATATGGTACATATTGGTGTTTCCAATTTGCCGTTAACTATACGTACTGATTTAGCCAACAGGTAGGTGATTTTTTTGTTTTATCAAGAAAATTATAGTTAAAATGTTTTTTAATGAGCTGTTATCAAGTATAACAATGTCATTAAATATTATAGTTATGTTTGGTTTAAGATTTTTTCTGAATATTGCAGAACATGAGCATGTTTCAGTCTTCTTGAAATCCGAAGTCGATTTCAACATACTTGGCTTTCGCGCAACATCGCAAGCACACTTCCAAATGCTCTGAAAATATTTGATAATCTTTTCCGAGCATTACTACCGCCGAGCATGCAAGATTATGGAAAGAATTTGCTTTGATGATGGTAGAGTATTAAGTCATCGAAATTGATGCCTTATTTGTGGATTCGAATAGATAATACAGAGCTTTATGTTTTCCCATAAAATTAGATTATAAGTTTATGACGAAACTGATAAGACAACAAGTTCTAATTAATCATATTATGTCGTCGGTGCACGGTTAAATTCAGTTTGCTGTTATCATATTTTTTATATTAGAAAGACTCGAGATTAAAAGTGACAAAATAATGTTAACTCAATTCACTATCTTAATCTGTGCACTTAAACGATTGTAATGTTTTTCTCGCTATTCCTCTACATCTCAGCTTTGTCGTAATAGTTTCTGAATACTCAGCTATTGTTTGCTCTCAGTATCTTTTTCTCACTATCTTAGTTGTGATATATGCCTGTGATCTTACCTTTTTTAATTTTATCTCCTAGTAAATACTTTTGCTTTTAATAACTTTACTTGTATTTCATTAATTGGAGATCCTTTCACTTTTATCGTGCCTCAGTCAATTTCCACATTCTTTGCATAAAGTTTCCATGGGCTCAGTTCAGTAATATTCATATTTATTTATTTATTATTTATTAATTTGTCATTTTTCTCTTCCTATTCATTGCTTAAAAAATGTACGTGCTGGCTGAATAGTATTTGATTTGTAATCACTCTTCTATCTAAGAAAAACTTATCTATTTACATCAAGCATATCGCTGTGTAATTGAAATTAAAGTCAAAACTAATGCACTAAAATGATATTATGTCATTGTACCAGTCTTTTCCTTGCTGTTTAAGTAACGTATGGGAAATAAATACTAATTTTGCATTTTATTACTGGAATTCAGCGTTTTTCGGCGATATTATTCTGATTTTATGATTTTTTTTAATGATAAAGGAGCAAAAAATCTTTTTTCTCGCAACAGTGTGGAGCGCAGTGTGCATGTTTCATGTTTTTAGAGAGTAGTCGTTAGAGAGCTAATAGAAGCTTTGTATTTGAGGATTTCTCTTCAGTAGTGTTAGAGAAAGTTTTACTTGATTTTGTTGGGGCACTGTCTGATTCATTCTGCTCCAGTAATTGCTTGACCTAATATTACCTAAATTTGAATAACGATTGTTTATTCAAATTTAGGTAATATTTATTAAGAGCAGACAGCGATGTATTATTTAGCTTTTGCACAATTTAGCTGTTGGGTCATGTTCAGGGACTACGCTATTTCCTTACATCAAGAAATGCTCAGAATCTGATATTTGCAGTCATGTTTGCCGTACTAAAAGAGGAATTAGATCAAGCAATTACTGGAGTGAATCGTTACAATCCTAACAATGTTGACACATTGGAGAGATGTATCGAAGCAATGGTGCAAGAAAATCAGTATGACAAGGATATCTTAATTACTACGCTGAAACTTTATCAGCTGAATCCGGACAAGTTTGTTTTTTCTAGGCGTTCATGTCATTCTAATAATATATTGGATTATTTTAATTTATAATGTGGAAAAGTCGTCATTGTATTATAATTATTTCATTAATTTGCATGTATAATGTTTTCCAAATGTGTATAATGGTCTTTTTTTTGTATATAATGTCATGTTTAGGTATAATGAGAGTATCGTGAAATCGATATTACTCAAAACGATGATGATGGCTCCAAAAAGTGATTATGCGCTCGCAAAGTATTTGATTGATTCCAGTCGAGTTGGTTCACCCGTGAGCATTTTACATTCCAAATGACAGCAATATTTTAAAATTTTTTCTTTGCTTTTTTCTAGTACAAAAAATAGCGATATTTTTGTAATGTGCCTAGTTCAAATTTGTAATTATATTTTAGGAACTCAAAAGAATATTCGATATTGGAGCTTTACTAGAGTCGTGTAACTTCGCCGTCTTTTGGCGTTTAATGCGAGGAGAATATCGACCAGCTGATGATATTAATGAACCATTTAGACAACCTTGTGAGGTTCCAAAAATTATTCGATCAGTACCAGGATTTGAAGAAAGCGTTAGAAATTGTTTGTTTTCAATATTATTTCTATCAAAAGGTTCAAATGCTCTAGCTAATAATCTTTCCCCACTCCATAGTATTATTTTCAGATGCTTGTCAGGTAATCAATATTACTTTTCAAAATATTGAAAAATCCCTTCTTGTGCGTTTATTAGGAGGGATTTCTGGTTAGTTTAAATTTAATTTATTTGAATTCATTGTTATATAAATATTAAAGTGAAAAAAGTGAACAGTTGATTCTCTCTCTTTCGAGAGTTTGGAAGTTTTGCATTTGAGGTGTTCCGTTTAAACTCATTTTCTTTTGAACTAGATGAGTGTGGTGGTACTCTGCTGATTTGAAAACTTTTATAGCATATTATAAGGAGCTCAGATGTTGCGTATGCTGAGATGTTGATAAACTACTGTTGTCTTAAATGACAGAAGCGTTTTTTTTGGAAATTAAAATAGTTTGAGGACACACACAAACCCCAAGTTACTTAGAACTAGAAATGATAGTTTCAGATAAACAAGTAAATGAATATGCTCGATTTTATGGCTGGACACTAAAAGAAAACGGTACAGTATATTTTGTGCAGAATCATGAAGCAACAATCAAAAGCAGAAATATTGAAGAGAAACTCCAGTTTGATAGTAAGTTCTTGAACTTATATTTTTAAAAAAAGTTTAGTAAAAGTATTTCACTTTTTTTTGACACAAAATAACCGTTCTGAAATAGTCAAATATTTATTATAATGAATTAGAAAAAATGATAAATTTCATTAACGTAAGTTTCACCAAATTACAGTTAGCACTGTTCTTCATTGCGGAAAAGGCATGCTTAATTATTTCAGCGTGCAAGGACATGCTTCGACTCTGTTCATGATCGATGGATTATATTTTTTAGTACTAACTTGCGTTGTAATGTGTTTATGTCCGAGTAAATCAGAGTAATATTTCTTATAAAAATGAATCTATACTGAATTATGTTGAAACACTAATCGTGAAAAGTTAATTACTTTAAAGCATCATAAGTTTAACTACTTAATCAAAACTAGATGATTCGTAAATCAGTTTATGATACAGCTTGAATGAAATGATATAATTTGAATGAAACATAGATTATACATTTAACGGAGAAATGCTGTCGAAGTACGCAAACAGAATTGACAATTTACAGCAAATATTTTCAGTATGACTTGTAGTTCTAAGCTCAAAAAATAAAAATATTGAGAGACACTTTTAAAAAGTAAAAAAATGAAAAGTGAACGTCAAGTAAGTTGGTAAAGGATTAGACGGAGTATTTTGTGAATAACGAAGTCTTGTGATAGTGGAAGTTTTAAAAAAAGATCGAACTACTTGTTTCGTATGCTGAAGACTAAATAATGCAAAATCAACAGAATGTGGGGATTGTGAGGTGTTTTATTAATTTGCTTGTAGTTTTAATTATTCGGAAAGTTCTTTTAAAAATTCTATTTGCCACTGCCACTAAATCAAGCAAGATAATGTGGTGTGGGCGCTACTTTCCCTGCAAATTAATTAAAAGATAAATTTAAATTGCACACATGTATAGAGCTAGAAATGTTTTCAGGTCGTTCAAGGTTGTTTGAATAGGAACAAAAGTTGCTCAGTACCTATAGGTCTAAGTCTGTCATCTGGAAAAATTATCTTTTTTTGTCATATAAAAGGATTTAGATTAGCGAACTCTTATCAAGAAGGCAACAAAGTATTTGTAGGCTTGAGTGGATGCTGTGTTGATTTGAATTTAAAGTAGTGATGGTGAGATATATTAGTAGAAGAATAATATAAAACATTGTTCAAGAGACTATTGAAAAATGGAGTGAATTAGGGAAAGTATGGATTTCTGAACTATAAAAAAAGAACCGTCAAGAAATGTGCTTCGCATATAATACTGAAATGGATATTTGATATAGCAATCTTTAGAAGTTCTATTTGATTAACAATCTGTAATTCATTCACTTAAGAATTATGCCATAGAAATGATTTCCAAAGCCTGAATACACTTACTTTGAAGCAAAGTAACTCGAAAGCACAAAAATGATGTAAACAGATCTAACACGCAAAGAACTGCTTATAATTATTTAGTACAGAAGAAGAAGACTTTCATTTGAAAGCACGCAAGCAATTAGGAGCTACTGAATCACGTTCGTGCAATTACGGTTAGTTTAATCAAAAAGTTTTATGTTTTTCGTAATAATAATAATAATAATTATTATTATAAATAATAGTAATGATAACAGTAATGATAATAATAATAAATGATAACAGTAATAATGATTATTATTATTGTAATTGTCATTATTATTATTATTATAAATTATTATCGTTGTTATATTATTGCTTATTATTAAGTATTATCATTAATTGTTATTGTTGCATTTTATTAATTATTATTATTATTATTGCTGTTATTATTATTGCATCTTATTCATTATTAATAATAAGTAATGCAAAAAAAAGATCCACCTCCTTGTGACGTTGATTCATCATTAATTAGTATATCAGTAAGTATAAAAAACTTTGATTTTTAACGTAAGAACAAACTGAAAATTTTAAATTTTTTGATAAATAAATATTATTATTAATTTTTAAGAATAAATATCTTATGAGTTTTTTCTACATATCTGTTAAAATAGCTTAGCAACATTTCTAAATATTATAAGAATTGTTTCTTTCAATTCTAGCATAGATTATTACTTTAATCATTGCTAAC